AATAGACTGGTGACCATCATTGACCAACTGAGAAAGAAAGTGAAGGGAAATGTAAAACTTTAGGAGTTGTAACCAGAAGAGGTAAGGGAAGAAAAATCTTACAAGGACACCTGTTACCCATTCCCGGTTCCGACAATGGGACAAGTGAAATCTCCCAAATTAGTATAGATCACCAGAAGAAAAAAAAAAAAAAACTTGGCAAACCTAGAAAAAGAGAAAGCTATACATACACTTTAGGTGCCAGAAAAATAAGAAAAGTTAAGATTGGTTAATGATAATTCAACTAAATTTGAGGACAAGATAACCGCCATGGGCTTGTTCGGTTTCTTCCACAGCGGAGTGGAATTACCGTAGGTGATCAGTAATGTAATAGTAATTAATGAGTTAAGTCTGACACCCTGATGAAATGTATGCTTTAAACAGATAAAAACGTGTTTGTGTAGTCTGCTTACACCAGTGCCTTTTGAAGCCAGAGTTCATCTGAGGTTGAATACAACAGGACGTGCGACATTGAGCAAGAACAACCCCCATACTATGGACAACCTAGGTGATGCATTTGTGGATGTAAATATCTTGTGGTGCTGCAGTATGAGAAATTCTGAAGGGATGTTCACATTATCTTTAAAGGAGAACTATGAGGTGAGTGCTTTTCACTCACCTCATAGTTCTAGCCGACCTGTGACAATGAGACTCACAGGTCGGCTCAGTAGATCGGGAGGTGAGCGAACACATACAGGGTTCGCTCGCCTCTCGATCCTGTCACCGCTCTCTGCCGTGACAGGGGGAGGGGCTGGATTCCCCGCTCCGATCTGACTGGCGGAACGGACGGGGGCGGGTACAGCAGGCTTTGCCTCAGATAGGCAGAGCCAGCTGTCACTCACGCAGCTGGGCGGATCCCGTCGTCTACGTCGGGATCCGCTCCGGCGTCTCAGTATACCGCGAGCTGCAGCTCGCGGTATACTGAGCTTAGGGTAATGGGAGGACGCTAGTTTGTGTCCTCCCGTTACCCTAAGGAGAACTATAGGGAAAAACACTGACCCCATAGTTCTCCTTTAAGTGCTGAAACTAAGCATTCTTCATGACCCTGAAATCCAGAGGGATTCAAATCCCAGATAGCAAGCAATTGAGCTGCAAGTTTGAAAATGACTTGCTAAAATGACTTGCATTGCAAGTCTCCAGAACAACGTGCTTTGCAAAAGTGCTGTACACTTGCAGAGCTCTTGCTAAGACCTGCAGGACTCTTGCTGTAGACTTGCCAAGCAAATTTGCTACAAATTCAAAAAGTGTCAACTAGAACTTGTGCTGCAAGTGTTCTGCAAGTCTACATCTTGCCAGGAATGTGTGCATCAAGTTAAGAATTACAATTTCAACCCTGCCACAAGTTTGTGGCAAGTTATCCTTGTTATCTGGGATGTGATTATAAAGCAAATATAATGTACCCTTGCTTGCAAGGTTTGGTACATAGAAATCAATCCAGAGCAAACGAGGCTTTTTACTTGGAAAGATAAAACTCTTGCTATTCAGTGTTTATTTAGGGAATAGAGGACATAGCCATGTGTCCATTAATAAAATCTGCCAGGAGTTGTTACAAGAGTTTAAATTGGCTCACAGTTATAGTTATTGAGACGAAGCCGACATTAATTTTCTTCAACAAAAAGACGGCAACAGTTGCCTAACATTGAGGGCAAGGGCAAGGGAGTACCCAAGTTGAGTTCTGAAATTGTGTTGTAGGGCCATGTATACTACTGCATAATATTTCACACATATTACTGAATGGTACCCCAACATACCTTGCTGATGGATGTGGGTTGCAGAAATGGTGCTTTGCAGTGCATTGGCAGCCCAATCATTTGGAATGGATTGCCTTAATGCAATGTGCATTAGCACACTATGGTGGTGCAATTGGAAGCGAAAAGGAAACCTGTTGTAAGAGAATCACAGGGATTGCCCCTGATGACCTCGTAAAAATTCTTAAAAGGAGAACTATGAGGTGAGTGCTTTTCACTCACCTCATAGTTCTAGCCGACCTGTGACAATGAGAATGTCACAGGTCGGCTCAGTAGATCGGGAAGTGAGCGAACACATACCGGCGTTCGCTCACCTCGATCCTGTCATGGCTCTCTGCCGTGACAGGGGAGGGGCTGGATTCGGGATTCGCGGTATACTGAGCCTAGGGTGATGGGAGGACGCTAGTTTGTGTCCTCCCGTTACCCTAAGAACTATGGGGAAAAGCCTTAAACCCATTGTTCTCCTTTAACGCAGGCCCAGCATGCAGCAAAACAAGTCTGAGTGGGAGGCAGACATTTTGAGATGTACACAGAGCTTTGCACAAGGGTTAGTACACACCAGAAACTGCATCACAACTGCGTGCGTCTGCGCAGCTGCATTGTGATCCGTTTTGACACTTTTGTGATGCGTTTTTTTTCCTCTGGATGTCCCTGGATGATGCCAATCAATTGTTTTGTTTTATTTTGTATGCTTTCCATTGCGTTTCAATTCGGTTGCACTGCATTTTGATGTGTTTCATGCAGTTAGATGCAGGTAAAATAGGACAAGCAGTACTTTTTCTGACTGCACCTGAACGGACTGCAATGGTGTGAATTAAGCCCAAGAAAGCCCATAGGAAAGCATTGTGATGTATTTTGACTGCAGCAGTCAAAATAAACGGACTGCATCATAACTGCATATGGTGTGAACTGGCCCTAACTATTGACCCCTCTTCTAATTTTTTTTTTAGACCTGTTGAACCTCAAACTACGATTACCATTTGATTTATAACTCTTCTTGATACAATTGAAGCCTCTATATTTCTCTCATAACAGATTTCCTTTAAATTGGAACAGTTGCCAAATATTTTTGTGGTGATTTAAGTAGGGAAGGTTTTAGAGCCTCAGTCAGGCTTTTG